CTTAAATGTTTGTTCTAACACGATCACAATAGAGAGAATATTCATTAAAATAATGAAAAAATTCCGAGATCTTTCTGAAGAAATGTCATACTCGAGATTATCACTTTTGTATTCATAAGAAACAATTGGTTACCACGAAAGATGTAAATGATACACCTTAAAAAATCATAAGATAAATCGACGAATGGCAAGATGTAAAGCACTGGCAAATGTTGAAATAGATTTCGAGTCCACACTGAGCTAATTCTTGAACACGCTATGCCTTTTTGTGTTTTTCTTATTATATTTAGATGACTTGCTCTGAGCTACATATTTTTAATAGCATATCATGTCATTGCAATTACAAAGCACATGCTGAAATATTAAAATTTCATGACAAATATTCAGTTTTCCGAATCGATTTTCCTTGTTTAGACAAAGTCACAGTTATTGATCAGCTTTAATCAATAAATCGCTTAACCAAAACATAGTCGCAAACAAATCATTATCTTAATAGTTAGTGTAGCATTCTTCAGATTCTCCGACATTGCCTCCTTGTACATATACATAAAGCTGTTGTCTGTGATTCTTTACAATATGATTTTACTTAGTCAAATTCAAAAATCACCATCTGAGTGGAAAGTCTGATACGCTGTTAAGCTAAAATGATAAATTCGGTTGATAATCTCGATCCAGTTAGTATAAATCTAAAAACTGTCATAGAAAGAGTTAAAAATCGAAACTTAAAAAAAAGATACTAAATGTAGCATCATCTTATTGATAAATGTTATCAAAGCTGATTTACCAATAAGATTTAAAGATTAGTCAAATAATTTCGTTTCAACTAAAACAAAATATTATTGTTTAAGAACTATTTAAGGTATTGACTAAGAATTTTCTCAAATATATAACAATGCTAAATATAATGGAAGTTTTTGAAACAATGTACGAATTTTTGTCTTATTCGGGGGAGAATTTGTTCTAAAAACAGCAACCCATGATATGATTTTGTTTCAAGTGATTATACATGTGTTTACCAATGTATTGGAATGGTTTTGTTTGTCATTGTGTGACTGAACCGGAGAGATGTTTTCACGACTTTGTCATATATACCTCTTAAACGACACGTAATCTACCAGCAGTAACATACTGTCACGTTGCAATCTTTGCGATTTCAGATACAATTTCAATTTTTGGGGTAGAATTAACTGTAAATCAGAAACAAATCTTGTTTTGGTAAAATTAATCAAAATCGGCAAGATTTATCTGTTAACAGTAAATAGTATTTAAAGTATTAAATTGACAGCGAGCGTGATAAATTCAATTAGTATAGTGACACAAACTTTCATATTATCAACCTGGATACATTTAACGTTAACAATAACTTATTATTTCAATATTAGACGTCGGGCTTGTGAAGTTGTATTGATATTACTTGGACATTACATTAGAGGTTAGTTAACTTAAATATGATATTAAATATCACTGCTTACCTTTTGCATTTTACCACCTTGACCAATGTACTACAGAAGACAATCTATAATTGAATTTTTGAATGGTACTTCTAGTTATAGTGATAAGAATCAAATTTGTTATTTAGAAGATTTATATTCCTCATGGCGAGAAAGTTTTTTCAGGGCTTCCTAAAAAGTAATCTGTTTTGACCGGTTGGCAGTGAACAAGGCTTAAGAATTAACTTTAAATACTTTTCAACGTGAATTCATCACGAAGATTATATTTCACTTGACCCTCCTTCGATGACCGTCTTTAGATACATCATAAGTCTTAGTTATCACATTTAGAAAGGCTTAAATTAAATATTGATCGAATCAAACATCACATATTTGCTTGCCGCTTGTCATCTTGCGATGGAACATTCAGAGCATGAAGCGTCTTCATTCAAGCATTTTTATTTATTGATAATCGCATCAACATGCACAGTTTGATCTCTAGTCCCTTGGGTCGAGGTGGTCGACCATATATAATCAATTAAGATGATGAATAAATATGATTTTTAAAGATGTTTTTCATTCCGATGAAGCTCATTGTTGCTCGATTTCAGCTCTACCACATGTTGATTCGCATTCGCATCAAAGCGTAAAATAGTCCGCATATACATCACAGCAGTATTCTTGTACTGACAAGTTTGAACTATTTGTAAAAATATCATCAATTGAATACCATGGATAATGAGTTTTAGTTCTGGTCTTGTAGCGGTCATGTGAAATAATGAATTTTGAATACGAATCATGAATTACTGACTTTTGACTCCAGAGAAGCGTTTAATATCCGATCAATCATCTCTGAACTGTTTGAAGTCTTCAGCAAATGCCTTAAAATGCAAAATGTGGTTTCTCTGGAATTGAGGCCGAGTTGGAAGATACAATTGGACAGCTTATTTTTCAGTTTCTCCAAAAATATTTTAATAATAGATAAAACCTTCTTTATTCCGAACATAGTTCTTTGCGTTACGTCATATGCACTTACGATATACCGTGTGTATCCATTAAAAACCGTGTCATTTGATGACGCCACAGTATCACAGTGATCAAAAAGGTCAAACTCAAGTCTCAAATTATAATTGCATTTCAGAAAAGGAAAATTGTTTCCGGTGTCTTGGGAGACTTGATTTACACTGGCAAGAATTTAAATTGCCTTAATCGCACCCTTAATCTGCCTTCTACTAAAATGTGATACTAAAATTGAATTAGAATGCAATTAACATTAACTACTTATTGCCATTCATCCTCGTGATTTGAGATATGTGAACGTCACCAAGAGATGCTATCACTATGGCGTACATCATGGCCATTTTAGTCGAACATATAAACAGGCATTCTAATGACTTTTACCAATAAGTTATCGTATATTTTGGTTTTTGGTAAATGCTATTCATACAGATATTTGTTAAATCGAATACAGTGATGTTGCAACATTGCAAAAACAAAAAGACTCACATGAAGGTAGATTTCACAATGTTTCAGTTAAATTTAAAACTCAATGGGCTGAAATTACACTAATTTACCTCTCATAAAGCAGGGTTTTAAATTTAAGAGGTCAATTAAATGATGAAATGCGGACGGACAATGGAAAAGCTGTGTCACAATACAACCACAAGATGACCCTCTGTGGTATTCCCATGTCCTCTGTCTTCTGACATGATATCCCCGCGAGAAATTATAATTCGTATCTTTCTCTAGCCTTGGTGATTCCCAACGGACTGGAAAATTGGAAGAAATATGATTAATGGCTTTTGAATGTCTGGTATTTTTTCCGACAACTCCGTTAATTTCCTGCGACCACGGTCTCTAGGTATATGAATCATGGACAAATATAAAATCAAATATTTATTAGATCACTCGCAGTGAATAGTTAGAATCGTCACTTAGTTGATTTACTATTGATACGTGTTGATTTAATGTCATAAAGCAGCGTTATGTCAAGTTGATTTACTATCAATGATATTGTTGATTTACTATCAAATTTGTTGATTTGATCATTTGGAACATCATTATGTCAATATACAAAGCACTGAAAAACATTTGAAACATTATTACTATCACATTAGTAGTTGCTGTTGGGCTTTGGTCCAAGATTCATTGCTTGTTTTTGACTTTTAAAAGTAATGCAAGTGTCCAAAGTGTCATACTTCGTTTAGCCTTTGTATCAGTATATAGCGAAGTTTCATATTTTATCGATTTTAGAGTATATTTGAGAATGAGATATATACATTATTTCATAAATATTTAGTTGCTTAGCAATGATTAAATCAAGTTTTATCGCATTTGGAATAGATTTTTCTTTTCACAAGAAATCATTGAATTATTTTTGTCATCACACCCCTTTTGTGTCACAAGATGCAAATCAATGTTCTTTTCCGGTCTGCCATTGATTTAGGATTGATTTGGATAAATTAATTTATAAAATAAAATGGTTTATTTCGCGAATATAAAGGTTCAATCAAATTGTCTTTGAAATTTGATTTGATTAGCCATAATGACATATCTATGTTGAAATGTTACATCTGGGTGGATTTCTATCATTCAATACATAAATATCCCGTCTTGCTTTAATTAATTTACTCTCGCACGAGTAGACGTGGTCAGTGGAACGTTCACGAAGTGTCTCATGGATTAAAATAAAGTGAAATGTCGGCCGGCGGATTTAGACTACGTGAACTCTTGAATGAATACGAAACGAATGTGGCATCTATTAAGATATGATAAAATTTGTATATATACACAAGTTAAGTATTTAAACAAGATGGCGACTGACCCACCCAGCTATTTATTCAAAATCAATCAAGACGATGTTACCCGTTATTTGAGTCTTCAGAACAAACACGTCTTACTCGACCCACCTTCGAGTTAAATCACAATTAACGTGTTAAATAAATACAAGTTTTAATATGTGATCCTGACCCATTATTGGCTTAATAATACACTGCCTAAATGACCTTTTATAAATTTATTCAAACACGATGTTTGCTATTAGGTAATAAGCTATTCATAACGTTTATTCTATCAAGCACCACTTTACTTGATCAACATTATTAGAGGGATTATAAGGTGGTTGTTATTAGTCGACCCTGGGAGACCCAATGAAGATCTTTAATGGAAATAAAATTAGTGGGAAGCAGTTAAGATCTGGGAGTAAATCAGCCAAGTTTGTATTTAAGAGACACATAAGAGACAACATTAATATCAAAACCATTTACAGAATGAATTCATTAAAGAGTTGGATATCTGTCATCTGTGTGAATTGTAAGTCGAAAGTTTGTCCTGGGAGAATTATTTAGAATATGTTTAGTTCCTGAACCATTCATTAACAAACGTTTTTCTATCTATTTTCAGGAACCATACAAGACAATGATAATACTGGTATTATAAGAAACCAAGAAAGCTAAGTTGAGCATCTATAAAACGAAAATGGCGATCGTAAAAAGAAAATCAGCGGCGGGAACAGAAGTTTTTATGTTCAGTTTATTATGCTTATTAGGAGCAATTCTTGCACAGTCTCCGGACATTGTTTTCACACTAAAAGAAGAAATGAATCCCGGAGTTTTTATCGGAAACGTAGCTGTAAGTAGCGGAGTCGGGCAGGATGTAGCTGTAGAGGAATTTCCATATCTGGAATACAATTTTTTAAATCCCAATAACAAACTAATTAAATCTCTATTTAATATAAACCGACCCACTGGTGCTATGTATAGTACGAGTAAAGTGGATCGTGAAGAAATGTGTAATAAATCAGTCGTGTGCCAGGTTACCTTCGATGTTACCATTCAGTCGTCTGCGACAACATTTTTACGTCTGTTATCTGTACGTGTGGAAATCGAAGATGTGAACGATAACCCTCCCAAATTCGGAAATAAAAGTGTCATCTTGGATATACCAGAAAACGTTGTGGTTGGTACAAACTTTAGGATAACTGGAGCAACAGACGAAGATATGAGTCCCGAAAATACTGTTCAATCTTACGAACTGATTCAACCAGATAAAATATTTGGAGTACAATTAATCAAAAAATTTGACGGATCCACGGATGTCAGCCTTTCGGTTCTGAAGTCACTTGATCGCGAATCACAAGATGTGCACAGTATTCTCCTCTTAGCTAAGGATAATGGATCGCCTCAAAGAACTGGCAGTCTACTTGTCAACATAAACGTTGTTGATGCCAATGACAATGAACCTAAGTTCATTAAAGATGTTTACAATGTTACGGTGTCTGAAAACACTACAGTTGGAATGGTTATAGAGACACTTAAAGCACTTGATGTGGACTCTGGGGAGAATGCTAACGTATCCTACCGTTTTAGCCCCTTGAGAACCAGTAAACTGGAACATCTGCTCACTCTTAACGGATTAAACGGCGAGTTGTCTGTCAAATCACCACTTCAATATGAATCTGGAAAAACATACGAGACAATTGTAGAAGCTTCAGACAATGGCAACCCGCCCCAAATAACACAAACTATTCTTATTGTAAACATTGTTGACGTCGGAAATAACCCTCCTCGATTACAACTTAACCTCGCATCAGCCATGAACTCGGAAACAATCATTTTGTCGGAAGGATCTAAAGTCGGTACCTTTGTTGGTCATATTAAGGTGGAGGATCGAGATCCGGGAGTTAATGGTATTGTCATGTGTTATTGTGTCGAGGAGCATTTTTCTTTACAAAAATTAGACGGTAAAGGATATGCTCTATTAATTAGCAAGACTTTGGATAGAGAAACTACTTCAAAACACAATGTGACTGTTACATGTCAAGACAACGGAAGTCCCAGTCTCAGCAGTTCAATTCATTTTGTTGTTGTGATTACCGACGAGAACGATAATGGGCCTCAATTTCTTCAGCCTATTTACGTAATTAACGTTACAGAAAACGTCGATATCGGAACGACAGTAGGGGCTGTATTAGCCATGGATAATGATCTAGAAGAGAATTCGGAATTTTATTACTCCCTTGCCTTAGATGCAGGTGCAATGTTTCACATTAATAGCGAAACTGGAATAATAACAACCAATGCTAACATCGATCGTGAAACTCTTTCAAAAGTTACATTTGTAGTTAGAGCTATTGACAACCAGAATTCCAGGCTTTCCGGTACTGCGTCAGTCAGTGTTATGATTTTAGACGTGAATGACAATAGCCCTGAGTTTAAAACTGAAAGTCTGCGAATCAAAGCCATTGAAAATCTTCAGCCAGGAACAATTTTATCAAAACTTGCAGCAACAGATGACGACGAAGGAAAGAATGCCGACCTGTCATTCTCAGCTGCCGACCACAATCCAACAATTCCGTTCGTGGTTTACGAAGACGGTACGATCAGATTAGATTCCCCTCTAAACAGAGAAAGTCAAAATATCTATGAATTTGATGTCATTGTTCAAGATAAAGGTGATGTTCCTCGAACCACAAGTGGACGAGTCCTTATAACTATTGTTGATGCAAACGACCACAGCCCCGTGATTGAATTCCCCAGATCCGGAAATGATACTGTTACGATAGAAGCAGACATGAAAGTTGGTACCTTGGTGGCATACGTCATTGCTTTTGATGAAGACGATGGCGATAACGGCGAATTAGAATATTCAATTTTATCTGGAAATGATCACAGACTTTTCGAAATTTCTCCTAAAACTGGGGAAATAATCTTAGTCAAAGACATTAGCAGAGACGTCTCCGGATTTCACCAGTTGGAAGTCAACGTTAAAGATCAAGGTGCCGTGCGATTAGATGATGTAGCTTTTCTCAAAATCAACATCTTGCAATCCGAGGAAGTCGTACCACCCCCAGCCGAGGCAAGTGGACAATTCTATCTTATCATTACTGGGGTGGTAGCAGGTGTAACGATTATATTAGCCATCATCATTGTGACAGTGATCATAAGAGTGAAACGTCGAGATCGGGATCACGTCGACAGCGAGGCAGGTTCCTCTGGAAAAGATCAACAAGATTTTGAGAAGGCATTACCAAGTACAGCTTTACCAAACACCAGTATGAATTCTGATAATTCAAGTTTAGATTTTCATCCAGTAAAGAGTGGCGATAATGATATTATATTTACAAGTCAGAATGTCAATCCTGACTCAACAGAGAACAGAAAGAGAGTCTCATTCTCCGTTTCGCAGGTAATTAAGCAGATAACAATCATTTATTGTGGGTCGTTGCGCAATCGTATTATCATTCCTTTATACTGAATCATATTATAAATCTAAATGAACTGATACGGTCATCATGCTTTAGGCACTTCTCTTTGTTATGAATTTTAATGAATCAAAGATACTTGAGAATTGAAGGTTAATTGCTGTTATCGGCAAATTTGTTGCATCAGTTCATTCCCAAAGCAAACGCTCATTATCAGCCATAAATCTTTATTAGGCTCAAAATAATAATAAACAATCCGAGTCAATTAACAACAAGCGGTTTGTTTGAATTCCAGTTTTTATTTTTAAGGTTCCGAATCAACGCGTAAATTTAAATGAATCACTTAAAAATCGAAAACATATTTTGTTGATAAAAGACACTGATGTTAATGTATATCCATGTCTATTCTACCATTACGTTCTTCGTTAAGATATAAACTCCATTTTGTATCACAGCAATCTCATGCAGTTTCATTAGAGTAGATGATACATATACAATAACCTTTTACATTTAATTAATATTTACCTATTGCAGGTGAACGGTCGAGCTGTTAATAATGATAATAAAAGTAATTTCTCTGAAGAATCCAATGGTAGTGATAGTGGTAAAGGTTGCAGTGATGATGAAAATAATACATTTTCTCTCTCTGAAACAGGTAATTATTTTTATCTTTTAACGAACTGAGGAAGATTTTGTATTTGAATATATTTCACCAGCATGCAATGAGCTTTATTTAATTGGAAATGAAATACGAAGGGCAATTTTTTTATATTTCCAATTATATTATACCAACTATTGTCTTTCGGGGGGACCCTGTGTTATTGCAACACACAATGTGCTGCCATGCTTTTCTGGTAAATAGTAATATCACTACACAGAAGGATTGGGACACTAACCACCCCCGCATATATACACAAGCTTGGGCAATTTGTTCTTCTATGTCTTACAAAATTGCAATTGCATTACCAATTTAACAGTGAACATTTTAGAACGACATATCGGTCTCTTATATTACTCTTATTATTTATCTTTTCAGCACCATCGCTAATTTGGCATCATGACGTTAAAGATATAGTACCACCGATTCCACCAAGGATGCCAGCAGATAAACCAGTACGTTACCAGGCATATTATGCAACACACCAACCACGGCCCGAACGATCACAGTTACCTCATGTACAGTTTCTGGATTCTTTTTCAAGGAAACCTTTAGAAAAAAAGAATTCTTTTACTGATACATATTCAAAACTCAACAAAGACAATATCTCAAATATTAAAAGAGACATCTCAAAATCGTCTTTAAAGAAAGATGATTTGAAAATTCATAATAGTTTTTATCCGCAAGAACCTAAGTGCTTTAAAGACAATTTAAGACATTATCAAGGTCAGGAGGCTTTGACCTCTCTCAGTTACAATTCCTTGTGCCATAGTAGTGTATGTAGTGTGGATGATGATCAGTATTCTACTACATCTGGAAGTTATACCATCAACTCAGAGAACGAAGATGCAAATTGTGCTTATTAAACTCCTTAAATCCCTACACCAAATCAGTATTAACTACATTAGTGGCAGGTAGCGTGTCGAAAGGCTCATTCATATCTTAGATATGCTATCGTAATTACCTGATGTACATGCTTAGTTCTTCTAAGACATTCTTTTCGCTTTCGCATTTTCGTAACATCCGAGAAGAACTCGCCACATCTGCTATGATTGCTCAATGCTTTTGTCTTGGGTGCTACTTGACTTGGTTCATAAGAGCCAACCGGAATGAACAATAGCATTAAATGCTCAGATATTTTAATATTCTCGCGTGCTAAGGTTGAAATATTCAGTATTATATGTCTAATGAACTTTCGTTTTGTTTTAAAATATTTTGAGGTTAGTCGGCGACCCCCGAAATTTATGCATTCCATCTCATTTGCATTCTTCATTCTATAGAAATTCATTTCATCAAAGTAACTACTATCTTGAATTATATGTTTCTGCTGATAAGAGTATTTTTCATTTGTTGAGCTTGCCGTAATTGTTGTTTTTATGGATCAGAATCGAGTATACTGTCTATAATATGAAGTTAAGCTTTATCAAAATCATCAAAGAATCGAATAATTCGGTTACTTAGATTTGAATTCGGGCTGCTGAAACCATCGAATATTACAATCATATATTGTTTATATGTGTATTGTATATAGTGTATTTGTTTATCATTCTATTATTATGTTGTTTATTTGTTTATGAGTGGTGCCATGCATTGATTTGTTAATTATTTAAAATTATGAATACATTTCATACGTTCGAAATAAGTCGTTTTCTTTTTATTACGAATGTTTGATTTCTCTTGGGTCTCTATAAAATGGACCATGGCCCTATAATATTCATGTACAACAAGGATCAAGACAGAAACGTGCTAAACCCCATTCCAATTCACATAAAATATGCAATTATTACGGAGGTCAGGGTTTTAACCTGCTTGTATAACGATTGTATTTGAGATGTTCTTTGTAATGCTTATTTCAACGCTATATAAGAAAGCATTGTCCACCAATAATTTGCCAGATACAATGAATTGCTTACTATAATTTAGAGCCAGTGGCCATTACTTATTACCTCCCCTTCATCGGCAGTTCTTTTGTACTGATTGGATACCCATACGATATTGTCAACATTTCTTCAGTTTGAGATGACCACTCAACCACCTTCGTTTACTATCGTCAGCAACTACAAAAGAAACAAGACATTTCATTTGATTTTCTGATAAATTTATAAGTTACAACCTGACATAAAGGCTCTTTAGGAAACTTATACAATGCACTGAAAAATGTATTTGTCCGACTATTAGGATACCAGTAATAGCAATAACAAGGCGGGATAGATCTTAATATAGCATGGAAAACATCCCGAATTTAAGAACGGCAGGTGTGAGAGACGGTGTATCATACAGACTACAAGTCATGTGTAATGATAAGAAAACAAGACAGGAATGTGACTATCAACAAATCCAGTTATTTTTGTTGTTGTTTATTTTCCCAACAAAGTCTGTGAAAGAGGTCTGTCACTTTGTTTACATTTCGTTAACAGAAAGTGTAGCAAAGGTAAATCGCATTGGTCTGATTGCAATCCCTCAACACTCAGCGTTTACTAAGTTGTGGGATTGTAATCCCTCCTTAAACTCCAGCCGACACAAGGTTTGTTGTGAGAAAGGTTTACTGTAATACGTTTATGAACCAAAGAGATTTTTGCTTTTTTAATTTCTAATCTTGTTACAGTATCAATCTAAGGTCAATCGCATTAAAATCTTCTTACCTTGGAAATAGATGCGCCATTCTGTCAGTCACGTGGATATAAGTGCCCCTCTTCATATCTTTAATGTATGATTTTAATTAAGCTGATTTGGCTTTTCAAAGGTAATAAGATTAACTTGAAGAGGTGAGATTGGTAATTAAAAGGCCAATGTAACCAATCCTTTAAAATCTCAAATAAATCCATCAATAGAAATTATGTCTACCGATTCAAAGCACGTTTAAACGTGAATTGTGAATTTATTTAATTTGTTATGAATCCAGATTTATAAAACTTTAATTTAAAGAATTTTCATCCTTTTACAACACCTTCACGCTAAACAATTAAAAAATTAATCTTTACCTATTATAAAAGATAGGAGAGGTCGATAATTAAAAGGCCAATTTAACCAATCCTTAAAAATCGAAAATTAATTCAACAATAGAAATTATGTCCGATGTCCGATTCAAAGCCCGTTAAAGCATGTGTTGTGAAAATATAATACATATTATGAAAACGATTTTTTTTTTACTTTAAAGACTTCAAAATGTTCTTCATCTATTACAATTCTTCTACGGCAAATAATTCAAAGATTATTACTTATTTTAAGAGATTGACAACAGGACAAAATTTTGATGCTTTGATGTCCAGCTTAATACATATACATACAATAGGCCGAGACTTACATTAAAGGGACATCCAGCTCAGAACTCTAATCGTACATTATTAGGTGATAGTAGTTTAAAACTACCTTTCAGAAGTATTTGACATGGCACCAAGATTTCTTGCCTGTAGATGGATTCGAACCCACGGTACTTTATCGCCTTGTACACGACAATCCAATTCACTACCGACTGATTAATTCAAAAACAGTTTTCCAACTCAAGTATCGACGTTTTTTTAAGGTATCAGAATTTGCCATGTCAGTGCATGGATAATAAATAATTTGAAAAACAAAATTGTACAGCAGGTAGTACTGATATTTTGCGACCTAACGTTTGTTCGTTTTTATTACCTTTTAATTTTTTAATATAGGCACACATTTAAAAGCTTTTTTAATCAATCCTTGTAAAAAATTGCTTTCGATAATAATTATGGGTTGAATCGAACGGATAATATTTTTAATATTTTGCTTTCAAGTGACTCATCTATTTCATACAAGTAGTTTTTAGCATGCACTTTAAAGAAACTTGAACGAATCAATGCAAATGTCACCGATTTCTCGTGATATTTTAAAAAATGTATCTTAATTAAACAGATTTTCTAAGCTACCAGCGGATCTGCAAGCTACATGTTTATA